AGGCCTGACTCAGTCCTGCAGGGTCTTTCTCAGGGCCATGCTCCTGGGAAGGACACAGGGGCTGGGCTGAGACTGCTCTGCCTGGGCCGAGTCTCCCACCAGACCACCCTGCTCTCTGCCAGTGGATTCAGGCAGAGGACTCGGATCTTCTGAAGTCTGTCTGCACTGCGTGTGTCCTGCAGTAAATGCTCCATCTCCACTGTGGGGACGTAATGCACAGGAGGAGGGAGGCAGACCAGGTCTCAGGGTCCTGTGTGTGCTGTGGATTTAACCCCTCCCAACACCCGAAGGACCTGGAACATCACTCACTGTGTACTCGGAACTCTCCAGTTGCTGCTTCAGTATCAAAATTAGCAGCTGTGGTTTGTAGGGTATAGAATCCTGTGTCCTCCTGAGTCACATTCACAAACAGCAGGAACCCACTGAAGTATATTTTCTCTCGACCACTGAATGCAGGGCCGTGGATAGTTGTGTGTGAGAGATTCGAGTAGGATACAATTAGATGGCTGCGGTCTACTATTTCCCCTCTGTACCAGGCGTAACCTACAGTGTGCTCTGGAGCATCGTGGACCAGTAGAAAAACGTCTGTCCCTTCAGCAGCATCGGAAGGCACTGACAGGATAGTGAGCAGGGCAGCAGGGTGCGGGTTCCAGAAGGTTAGCAACGAGACTGGATGGAAGAGACAGAAATCCATCAATACTGGGGCCTTGTACTGGATGGAAAGTTGGGATCCAGGTCCTCAGCAGGAGTCCTCACTCCTCAGCCTTGGGGTGTGTGGTGTGTGTGTGTGTGTCCCTGGGTCAAGGCCAGCAGCATGACCTCCATTCCTTCAGGACCCCTGTACCTGTCATCCTCTCTTGAGAACACCTTTCCCCAGGTGTCTGCAAGGCTGGCCCCTCAGTGCCCTCAGATCCCTGCTCACACCCAGGGCACCTGGGCACCCGCCTCCCCTGACCACCTCCTTACAGACCCCAGGTCTTCCCTGTGGACATTTCCCTGCTCTCTGCCCTCCTAGATCTACACAGCACCTGGCCTCACCTGCAGATCTCCCTCTGGCCTGGCTTCCTGCCCTCTAGAGAGGAAGCTCCAGGAGGCAGAGACTAGTCTGACCCTGTTGTAGCCCAGGGCCTGGACCAGGCTCAGCCTCCTGTGGATGAGTGAAGCAGGGTCCCCGCCTGAGCGTCCAGGTGTCTGTGTGCCAATCTGAGGCTGGTGGCTGCAGACAGTGTCCACTGCTCAAGTAGCCTTTCTGTTTGGAGAGTGGCCCTGACAGAGCTGTTAAGAACGATTTTCAAAATACAATGGCCCCTGGTTATTAACTTGGGGGAAGAGAACCCCTGAGCTTTCCACCCCCCTTCATCAGCTCCAGGTCACTGAGAGTTTCCTGTTGCTGAGCTTCTGTCTTCTGTGTTCTGTTCCCATCGGGTTCCCAGTGAAGCCCAGTGTCCCCTTTGAGGGTCGTGTCCTCCAGGGGGACACCAGCTGGACTGTGCTCCACCTCCC